CATACATACAAATTATCATTCCTTTGACTTAACTTGTTCTTTTCTCACTATTTTTAGGTTTTCTCCTATTTAATTATGACACATTATTGTTTCTTGGGGTAATTTTCTTGTCTTTTATAGTTGTGGCTTACTGATTTTTTTGGTAAGTGATATTTTTTATTGTTAGTATAGGTGATATGTAGAGGGATTACAGTTTCATAAGTTAGGTAATTAGTACATTTTTTTCTTTTGAACCATGTCACTTCTTCCTTCCCTCTCGTAGTTTTTCCCTCCTGTCCCCACCCACAAGTTGTATAGTTCATTATCAACATAGTGTCTAATGAGTGCCAGGGCTACATTTGTTCACCCTTTGTATATTTTTAATCAAATATGGAAAGCTTTTATTTCAACAGTATTATACTCACTTCCCTCTCCTTTCTCCTTCAGCAACTGTTCAATTATGTCAAGTTTTCCCATTATTTAGTGATATATCCGTCCCTCTTATTCTTTTTCTCTCTCCATCCTCCCATCTTTTCTTTTCTTCAGTTTTTAAAAAATTAACTTTAAGTAGTTGTACAAAAGAATCACCATGTAACAAAGCAGCTTATTAATAAAATATATCTTGATCAATGTCACCACTTCCAGTATTCTCACCCATCCTTCCCCTACCCAGCCCATATTCATTTTATAGAATATACATTGGATTCTTCACTGCATTTCCTCCCTCTTCTCCTCTTTTGTCTACGACTTTCCCCTTGATGCCAAACTCACCCCTTTCAAGTACCCGTTTCCTGATGTTTTAATTTTTTTTAAACTTTTCTCCCTTGAATCTATAGTATTTCAATTAATACATTTGTATGCACTTGCTACCACCCAGTGTATTTAAGGAAAATATGGATTCTTTGTTTCTCAGCCTTACTTCACTTAACATAATTTTTTCTAGGTCTTTAAATTTCTTTACAAATGGTACAAAATAATTCTAATGGATGCATGAGTATCAGTTCAAAATTAATTAGACTTCATTGTTAGACATGAAACCATGAAACTATTACAGGACAGAGGATGGAAAACATTTGGGTTCTTGGGCACAGGTAGAAACTTTCTGAGTAAAGATACAGAGGCACAACAAAGAAAGACTTGACAAGTGTGACTGCATCAACTTAAAATGTTTCAGCACAGCAAAGGATATAGCTCAAATGGAAGAAGATTGTCAATTGGCCTATTATCCAGAATACACAGAATTAAGAAAAAAAATCCTCCAAAAATCAATAACCCTATTAAAATTGGCTAATGAGTTAAAGAAAGTCTTCTCAGAAGAAGTCAAAATAGCCACAGGAAAATATTTCTGGCCATAAAAGAAATGCAAATCAATCAATATTGAAATTTCACCCCACCCTAGTTAGAATGGTCATTATCAAGAAAACAAAGGAAAACTGATGCCAGTAAGCATACAGCCATCCTTTCTTTTCTTCTTTTCTAGTAGCTTTTTACTCTCTGTCAGATTTTGTCTTATTTCTATATCTCTATATCTCTGTCTTTTTTTTTTTTTTTTTTTTGGTCGGTCGTGGGGCTTGAACTCTAGGCCTGGGCGCTGTCCCTCAACTCTTCTGCTCTACCACTTGAGCCACAGCACCACTTCCAGTTTTCTGGTGGTTTATTGGAGGACTGAGTCTCACGGACTTTCCTTCCTGGGCTGGCTTTGAACTGTGATCCTCAGATCTCAGCCTCCTGAGTAGCTAGGATTACAGGCATGAGCCACTGACACCTGGCTTTAGCTGTGTCTTTAGTTTCACTCTTCTTTCTACTTTCTAACCTGTCACTGATTTCACTAGAAATTTGGCGTGTGTGTGTGTGTGTGTGTGTGTGTGTGTTTAAAATCTGTGTGTTTAAAATCTCTAAGAAACTGCTCCTAAATCCATCCCTTAGCTGTACAGAAATGCCTTTCTTTTCACTTCGACTATCTTCTTTGCCATTTCTGAGAGTTTCATTAATCTTTTTTCTTCTTATTGACTGTATTTTTCTACTTATCTGAATGCCAGATTGTTTGTTACTGTTGGAATTGCTTTTAATGATGAATTTTTCCATTAAATAATTTTTAAATTCTCAAAAAATTCTTGAGTAGTTTGAAATTATTGAAGTTGCTTGAAAGTAGTTTGATTCTTTTACTCCTGTTTCTAGTAGTAATTAGTATATAACAGCCTTTATTCTGGCTTTAATCCTTATCATTAAAAAATGCAATACCTCTTAATTCCCTAGTTGCACACTGTTTCTTGGTAGAATTGAATAATACATACAAGGAGTAAGTATCCACTCTCTCAAAGGAACTTAAGGGGAATTACTTTTTTGTTTGCTTGTTTTTTCATCAACTAGATTTATTTTTCTCTGTAGCAGAGTAGGGGGAATCTTCAAGGAAAACAAAAATGTATATATTTATTTGGTTTTGGAGCCCATACTGAGCCTAGAACTCAGTTCTAGGGATACTATGTCTTAGCTCTTTTGTTCAAGGCTAGTGCTGAACTCCTGAGCCACAGCTCCACTTCTGGCTTTCTTGGTGTTTTTTATTTTGTTTTGTTTTGTTTTTGTTTTTTTTTTTGATCGGTTATGGGGCTTGAACTCTGGGCCTGGGCGCTGTCCCTCAGCTCTTCAACTCAAGGCGAGCGCTCTACCACTTGAGCTACAGTGCCACTTCCGGTTTTCTGGTGGTTTATTGGAGATAGGGGTCTCACCGTCTCTCCTGCCCGGGCTGGCTTTGAATCGCGATCCTCAGATCTCAGCCTCCTGAGTATCTAGGATTACAGGCGTGAGCCACCAGCGCCCGGCTGTTTTGTTTTTTTGAAATGAGAGTTTCACAGATTTTTTTTGCATAGGCTGCCTGCAAACCATTGTCCACAGATCTCAGCCTTCTGAGTAGGATTACAAGCATAAGCTACTGGCTTTGATAACGATTTACCATGAATAACAAATGAAACTAAGATAGATAGATAGATAGATAGATAGATAGATAGATAGATAGATAGATAGATAGATAGATAGATAGATAGATAATTATTCATTTACTATGAAGGCCAAATGACACAAAAATGTCTCCCAATGATTAGGAAGATGAATGATTATATTTTAGAATGCAGTGTATTGAGGTCAGAGTCTGAGCGATGAGAGTGATCTGGGAACTTTGGCTTCTTATATTGGTCTCCATGTTTAAGAATAAGCAACTTGAGTTGGATGTTGTTGACTCCTACCTGTAATACCAACTACACAGGAGATGAGATCCAGAGGATTGCAGTGTTTTTTGTACTTTTTTATTGTAAAAATATTGTACAGTAGGGTTGCAGTTACATGAGCAAGGTAATGAGTACATTTCCTAGGATTACAGTTTTGAGGTCAGCCCTAGCAGACAAGTCTATGAGAATCTATCTTTAAAATAGCCAATGAGTATCAGTCTGTAGGTATGGCTTTGGTGGTAGAGTACTAGGTGAGTAAGCAAGCCAAATAATTGCTGGATTCAAATTTCAGAATCACCAAAAGGAGAGAGAGTAGAGAGAAAGACAAGAGTAAGAAAGACAGGAGAGAGAGAATATAAAAGACTTGATAAAATAATCATGGTGTTTGAGCAGGAAGTGACAATCTGACTCCAGGGGTGGCATGAGAGAAGGCTTGCTGAATTATGTATCCTTTGTGGTCTTTTTTGGAACCCCTGTGGTCTTTAACTGGAACCCCTGGTGAACAGTGGGTAAGATTTGTTGACTAAATATGGAGGCCCACAAAACTTGGTTCTTTAATGAAACAGATGAACTTCTTTTGAATCTTTTTGTATCAGGTTTCTAGATTATGATAAAAGTAGATTTTTTTTTTCCTGCTCCTGGGGCTTGAATTTTGGGCCTGGACGGCTATCCCTGAGCTTCTCTTCTTTTGTTCAGCACTTGAGCCCAGCACCAGATATTTTTTGAGTTTATTGGAGATGACTTTCCTTCCTGAGCTGGCTTCAAACCATGATCCTCAGACTTCAGCCTTCTGAGTAGCTAGGATGATAGGCATGAGACACTGGTGCCTTGCCTAAACAGATAATTCTTTTTTTGGGGGGGGTCCGGCTATGGGATCTGAACTCTGGGCCTGGGCGCTGTCCCTCAGCTCTTCAGCTCAAGGCTAGCACTCTATCACTTGAGCCACAGCACCACTTCTGGCTTTTTTTTCTTTTTGCTTATGTGGTGCTGGGGAATAGAACCCAGGGCCTCATGCATTCAAGGCAAGCGCTCTACCACTGAGCCACCTTCCCAGCCCCCTAAACAGATAATTCTTAACATGATTACATTAATCCTGAAAAGTTAGAAACTGTAAGTTACTGAAAGAACAAAAAAAAATCATTTTAATTCTAAAAAATTTTTTGAGTTGTCTTGAAATATGCCTCACTACTAGTTCTTCTAGAAAATAATAAAAGTGAAAGGTTATAAAATGCCAGTTGAAGGAAATGTTAGGTTTTTAAAAAGAGGTAGCCGAGTAACAACCATACCATGCATGTGGTATTCAGGTAAGGGGTAGGTTTATTCATCATTCCGGCTGGCACTAGGCCATCTTGGCCCTCCATGAGGCAGGGAAAGGCCTGGGAAAGACCTGGAAAAGAGACCTGAGAAAAAAGAGCGTCTGGGCCTGGGCTAGGCCTTATCTAGGGTATGGGCGGAGAAAGGTGAGGCCACATCTAATTCAGATGTGACCTCAGCAGATGCAGATGTGACCTCTTCCAGGTGTCCCAGTTGCCTAGGTAACGCAGGTACTGGGTGGAGACTTTGCTGGGAGAAGGGGTCTGCTCACCATCCAGGAGTGGACCTTATAGGAAATTTATTTTCTAGAGCAACAACAAAGCTACCTCTGCTTGTTAAACCTATAAAATTATTTCATTGGTTCCCTATGTATATTAGAGTACAGCACCAGAAAAAGAAAACCTGAATCTTTATAAACATTTTTATTAACATAAAGACATTGGTAAACAGGCTTTCATTTATTTTAACATTTTGTCCTTTTTATAGGCTATAAACTGTGATCAAACTGAGAACGTACTTGGTGCAACCTCATCATGAACCGTGCTTTCAGCAGGAAGAAAGGTAAGAGACCTCATCAAATCAGTATTGCTTTGAAAATAAAATAAAGCTATTAAGAAATCATTTCTTCCTGTAATTAAACTATAAGCTCAAGAAAATGATGTTGGAGAAACGCAAGTTTGCAAATATTACCTGACAATCTTTGTCTGTGGAAGAGTATATGCACTTAGTTTACAACATATGTATGATAGTATGTTCTTGGCAGTTTTTTGGTATGTTATGAAACTGCAAAGAATAAAATGATCTGAAACCTACTTCTAACTTTAACTTAGCCTTATAATACTTATTTCTTATTATATGCAAAGTTGCTGTATATAAATTAATTTGCCTTTGTGTACATGTGTGTATAATGTTTGTATACTTTATGCATTATTGAATAATATTGGAAGATTGAGGAAAGATGATTTGATAATAAAATCAAAATGAATTTACTGTTAATATTTAGGTGGAAGTTTAAAGAGAAATAAGCTTAATGTAGTCTAATCACCAGGAAGTAAATAAAATAAACAGGTAGGTAGCTATGTGTTATTGTTTTAAGGACAGGAAAATATGGCCTTTGACAAAACAGTTCATGGCACATTCATAGCAAAGAAATATTTCACAATTTCCTAAAAGTCCAAAGAATTTCAAATAATGTTTCCATTCATTCTGCGGGGGTTCTCTAGTGGCAAACACAGGATTGCTCTCCTACTTAACACAAATCAATGAATTTGGATAGAATATTTAAATACTGTTAGTCATAGTCATACATGATTGAAAGCAGGAAGAGATGACTCATAGGGCAGGATTGCAGATGTGAGGAGCGATGACCAATTAGGTCATATTCTATATTATACACTTAGTGTAAATTGCCAAACCATAATTTTTATTATTATTCCTATATTGTCACAACTTAAGTGAATATTAAGTGCAATGTGGGCAAAAAAATGGCTTACTAATACAGTCAATACTGTGATAATCAAATATTGCCATTCATTTTTTTTAAACAATAATGAACAGTCCAAAACCAGAGATCAGCATGTTCCCATCTACTTCAAGCATTCAAGAATAGTGTGTTCTCTTTAAGCGGTGTCAAAGGTTAAAGAACACATTGTAATATATCCAGTAGAACGGTTGGAATAACCTCAGCATTTTGACTATAGAACAGGAAGTGCAGTTAAGAACTCTTGGTGCATGATGAGGCCTGTCTTTCAGTCCCCATGGGACTTTGTTTAATAAAGGACAAATAGGTATAAATTATAAGGTCATTGATTTAATGTAGGAAAAAATATTCCAATAGAGTCATGTAAAATTTTTGTCCCTAAGTGTTCAAACATTTGGATGTGGTACAGAAGACTCATGTATTCAGTAGGAATTTAGGCAATGTGACCTTTAAGGCACGTTTCAAGCCTGTGAAGCTAACAATGTATTTTGCTATTCTTCTGAGCAAAGGGAAGTAAAAAGACATTGTTTGTAATCCATAACTTGCTTTGGATTTCAATTATTTTTCAAAAGTAAAATGGTGTTCTATTTTATTCCTTTTAGTAATAGCAAAGTATAGAAACTATTCTATGTTCTACTGCAGTAGTTTTAGTAAAGTAATAAATGCTTTACATTACAACTCAAATCAGATTAGCTTTTCACTGGCAAAATCCCAAGGGCTGGCAGTAATATGAATAACCAGCAATTACGAGTTTGTCTTGTTTTGTCCATTAGGAGTCCAGCCATAGGGAAAATTGGATTGATGTGGACAACCAAGAAGAAGATACAGTTATTTCCTTATTTACTTCATTATTTTTTTTCTTGACCCAATCTTATTTTTGAGATATAATCTTCTAATCAAGAAATTATTGACCAACACTTTGTTTCAACCAAGTTAGAACTTAGTACCTGAAGTTCTACCTTAACTTTGTTATTCAGTCCTGATTTTAGTTTGTTTTTAGATTCTATTCCTGGTATTAACTAACAGCACTGTTTCACAGGGTTTTACTTTGAGATGGGAAAAGTGATTTTGTTTTTCTGGTACCAGAGTTTGAACTAAGGGCTTTATACTTGCTTGGTTGGTGTTATAGCACTTGAGCCATGCCTCTGGCCTGGCTCTTTGCTGGTTATTTTGGAGATAGAGCTTCATAGACTTCTCTACCCACACTGGCATCAAACCAGAATCCTTCAGATTTCAACCTCCAATTAGCTAGGATTACAGATGTGGATTACTGGCGCCTGAAAATGGAATTTTATGAGAAAATGGAATTTTAGGAAAAAATTCATAACATCTGGAGCTATAATCATATTCCAAGACAATAGTATATAATTCAAACGTCATTTGAAACAACTAGTATCAATATATAATATGCATAGTATCTAAACAAAGTATAATGGCTTCAGTAAAAGCTCATTTCTTATGTTAGAGAAGTTCAGTGTAATTGGTCAGCCAATACAACCATACTAAATGCCTCTGAAGTCTAAGGGAAAAAGATGTGTATCTTGTGTCTAAACACACTTGTTTTCTTTTACAAAATACATCTCTGAATTAGGCTGATATCTCACTAATTTTCTTTGCAAATGGTAATGATGTTAGAGTTGCTCAAATTATGAAAAAGACTGAATTAGATCAGAGTTGCATCATTTTGAGCTGTTTTGAAAAGCTAATTAACAGTTACTCTAACATTATAATCACTGATTGAACTGTAGTTATTACATTTGTTTTACACATTTTTCATGTTAATGCTCTCTTTGAATCTCAAAGTACTAAACTCTATTACACTTATATATAAATAAGCCATTTAGTAAAATGCATAGAACAATATTTATTTAACAAGTAAATAAATGCAGCAAATATGCACCTAGCTTCACTTTGATTTTTTTGCATTGCCATGCTGATGAATGAATTATAGAGCAGTTAAAATTGAATATTTATGAATTATTTATTTTAATGAATACTTTGGATAACTGTTCCAATGCATCCTACAGCATTTAGTTTTAAACTTAATATATTCAAAGTAGGTGCTTTCATTATAAAAATAATTAGGTGCTTTTATTACAAAAATAATGATATCTCCCAAATCTAAACCAAATTATTCCTGTATTAATCACATTTCTGTTCATTGCAAATCATTGTTGAAATGGAAATTTATATGAAAAATGAATTTTTAACACATTAAAAACATTGTCAATTTTGGACATTAAAAACATTGTCAATTTTGGAGATTTGAATGGATTGTTTTAAAAATATTTCACCCAGGTATCACTGTCATCTATTTAATCCAAAGGTAGAGATAGACCAATAGTATTGAACCTTTGTGCTTCATCTTTGAAATTCTTTTTTTTTTCTTTTTTTGGGGGGGATCCAGTCGTGGGGCCTGAACTCTGGGCCTGGGCGCTGTCCCTCAGCTCTTCAGCTCAAGGCTAGCGCTCTACCACTTGAGCCACAGTGCCACTGCCGGCTTTTTGCTTATGTGGTGCTGAGGAATCGAACCCAGGGCCTCAGGCATACAAGGCAAGCGCTCTACCACTGAGCCACCTTTCCAGCCCATCTTTGAAATTCTTATGAGTATTGTACTATATCATATAAACAAGTTTCATTGCAGGGGTGTTTATCATTTGTCTGTGTATGTGTCCTCCAGTTTGAAAATAATATTTTAATTATGTCAAATAGTTCTGTTTATAATGTTTTAAAATAAATTTCCTTGAATCTATATTTATTATTGTTATGCAAAATGTACCTTAGTCTACTTATAATAATGTTTTTTCTAAAAAAATAAAATGCATATTAAAACTTCACTGTCAGAAACAAAATACATGTGAATTTTAAGAAGTCTTAACCAAAAACAAATGTAATTTCAAAAAAAAATCAATTTGGCTATTCAACAAAATGCTTGGGAAGTTATTTGAAAGATATAAATAAAAATTTAAAAATGAGTGAAAATATAAATAATACAAATACAAATAAAATATCAATAATATGCAATAGTGACTTTCAATATTCCTCCTTTTGAATTACCCTTGTTTCAAATACTTTATGGAAGTTGTCTTGCATTAACTATTATGGCAGTTAAGATTATTTATATGTAAAACTCTTGATAGTAAGTTTCCCTAAACTTGGCATAAAGATTAACCTAACATTATTTTTCCTTTTTTTTGTTAACAGAGTCGATTTATTTCAGCTTTATACAAATACATAAAGATTAACCTAAAATTGTTTTTCCTTTTTTTTTTAACAGAGTGGAGTGATTTATTTCAACTTTATACAAATATAGTTGTTTGCTTAATATAAAATTTTGGAAAAAATATGTACGAAATGATTATGCATGAGTCTTACAACTTAAAGAAATTCACAAACAGTAAAGACTAGATTATTTTTAATTGTTCTAAGAATTAAGAACATTAATCGTAAAATAAGATTGTATATTTGATATTACTCATAGCTGATTGATATTGTTATATTTTAAAACTTCAATATCAAATGTTGAAAAATTAAAAGTGGAAGATTTTTATGATAAAAGATTGTAATCATTCTCTTGCTACATTGTTCTCGTATTCAACTAGTTATTCATTCTAAATTTAGCAAGATCTCTGAAATGCTGTCATCATTTTAGAATCCCTACAAATGTTAATCCATGTTTGTGACACCACAGGTACCTGGAATTTAATTTAATCCTGTTTTTCTTCTTGCAGACAAAACATGGATGCACACACCTGAAGCTTTATCCAAACATTACATTCCTTATAATGCAAAGGTAAAAATAGTTTATATGGTATGACTTAATTTCACTGTCTTGTACTATTACTACTAATTATGGTTGATCTTTGAAATGTTTCTTATTCACATTTATTGGTTATTTGTGAACAAATACCCCCCTTCCAAATTGCATGACACAGGAAGCCATTTTCTTTCCAAATAAATGATATAGGTTTAATTTCTATTTAGGCCATGTATTTCTTGTATTTATTTTCCTAAAGTGAGTTTGGCTGTTAAATAATTTGTAATATCATTGCATGTGGGAAATCAAACAACTAAAAAATTACTTTTCTTTAAAAACATCTTTATGTTGCCAGTAGCTCATGCCTATAATTCTGGTCACTCATGATGCTGAGATCTGAGTATCAGAGTTCGAATCCAGTCTGGGAGAGAAAGTCTGTGAGACTCTTACATCCAATTATCTACTAAAGAGCTAAAGATGGAGATGTGGCTCAAATGGTAGAGCATTAGCCTTGAGCACACAAGCTCAGGTTACAGTGTCCAGGCCCTGAGTTTTCAAGCCCCAGGACTAGCACAAAACAAAACATAAAAAACCATCCTAATGTGGCATTGCCCAGATTAAAAGTATAAACTAACCTGGAAATGAGAACAAAAGGAATTAATGTTTTTAATAAATGTATTGGGTACCCAATAGAATAAACAAATGAAATTATTAGGAAATGAAAAGTTTTGTTGTTTTATTCTGAGGATTACTACATTTTAATTGAGAAGTAAAAGATTCATTCATATCCCAGGCCCTTAAAGATTCAATTGGCTGTCTGAAATTTTACTAACAAATAACTACAGTTTACAAATTTACAATCTACTGGATTTCAAAGAAAGGTTCTAGCTTTTAGTTAGTGAGTATCAAACCTGAAATGATTTTCACAATTAAGAAAAGAACAAAAGTGAATTAAAGATTTTAACTTGAGTTAGAGTATGAATCAGGTTTAAGCAGTTGAACTTTGGAGACTGCATAAAGGAGAAAGTAAATTTTACCACTTAGGACAATAACTGATGGGTTTAATGCGTTAGTAAACTATTTGATTTGATTTGATTTAGAAGTTATTTCTAGTAATGAAACATTTTTGGAGCAGATAATCAATAATGTTTCTTTGGGAACCTTTGCAACGGTTGTCTATATCTGAATCAGTGGGGACTAACATAGGAGAAATTCTTCCAGTGCTGTTGCTCAGCAGTGAGAGTTGAAGAATATAGTGACTACACTTTTGTTGTTGTTGTTGACTGCACAGGAAAAAAAATGCTCTAAAATATTTTCTTTCTCTAACTAATATTGTTGAAATTATTGTAGAGCTCATTTGCTTCCCTGTAAAAATTAACATGGAGATTGTCATATTTACTATGAAAAATTCAGTCAAAGTAAGTTCATATTATCCATAGATATTCTTCATTTGAGCTTTTTAAATTTTTTTTACTGTGAAAATACTGTACAGAGGGATTACAATTACATGGGCAAGATAATGAGTACATTTCTTATCAACATTGTTGCCTCCTCCTTTGTTTCCCCTCCCCATCCCTTCCCATCTTCACATCCTCCCCCCCTAGCTCCCGCACCCTTCATTTGAGCTTTTAATCAACTATATGAAATCTATATAGAGAAAAATCAATAGCTACTACTATTACTACTACTTCTACTACTACTATTACTACTACTACTACTACTTTATGATGATGAGGTTTGAAACCAGTGGCTTACTAAGACAGGCAAATGCTCTAAGACCCACTTATGACCCACTTATGACCCAACCCCCCTGTTATTATTTGGAGGTGTACATGTGCAGGTTCTGACGATCATAAGAGAATTTTATATTACATCCTTCAAGTGAACCACCCAAGGTTATTTGTTTTTATGTAATTGAAATGAACCCTTTTGAAAAATTGGTTTCTAAAACATTGGAAGGTTATATGATCATTAGAATTATTATTAACTTTAACTCTGCAGGTTAGGGTATCAATGGAAGTCTGTTCGTTCATGTGGATAAATTGCTTGTGCTAATTCACATGAGCATGCCTATAATTCATCTTATATAAAGCAGAGGGTACAGAAACACCTTCTTAGACTGAGGTCCATTTTAAGGTGGCCTTATATATAGTAGTAATATATGTCATTTGTATAACAAGTCATACTAAAACTTTAAGAATGTATTTACCTGAATTTTCTTCTTTGTAGATTGACTTTCCATAGAGTTATTTTGAAGATGTTCTATAGTTGTCATTGGTGTGTATGCCACATGAAAAGCCAAGTCTTTATTCACAGGAGTTATTTAACACAGGGAAATTATACTCTAGAAGTCGATTTCCTGGGTTTGTGTCCTAACTGTAACACTTTCATCTGTGTGTCTTTCAGCAGATCACTTAGCTTTTCTGTATCTGTGTATTCATCCATAAATAGGGATGATGATGATAATAGTAATTTCTCAGTAGAGTTATTTTTAGCGAAGTAGCTACACAGAAAATATTAGCAGTTATTGACTCATGGTTTATTTTTCACAGGACTTACCAAAGTGTGTGTTTCACATTTGGGAATAAATAGATATGTGTGTATATATGTCAATGTAAGTGTATGTATATACATGTATATACATCTATGTATGTATCTGTATACATATATATGTGTATATATATATATATAGATGTTTATATATACGAAGTCATTTATGTACTAAATGCTATTATATGTAATGCATAGTTGCTGAAGTTTTATTGTTTTTTTAAATTTAATTTTATTTGTGAACATACTGTACAGAGGGGTTACAATTACATGGGCAGGATAATGCGTACATTTCTTACCAAGCATTGCAGCCTCCTCCTT